GAGTTTATTGTTTGGATCTCCAGTCAGACTGAGAATGAATGCACACACACACATTTCTGATTTAAATAAGTGAACACACACTCACACTTCTTTAGACCGGGTCTCAGCCTCTGCTCTCCACAATGTTCCAGCCTGGAGGAAGAAACAAAGTCTGATTAATATTAGGGTTGTCAAAATCAACGTGGATTCGTCACGATTAATCCGATTAAAATTTTTAACGCAATTAACACATCTGCAGCGCTGAATGACTCAAAATCCCTGAAATGTCTCTGTCAGCGCATTTGGGGCAGTTTGTCCAAGTAGAGTTACCTTTGCACATGTGCAGTAGATCTGGTAGTGACGGGCAGCAGAACCAACCAAATCAATATGGATGATGACAAACAGCACACTGGCCCTCTTGTGGGAAATTTGAGTATAAAAAGCAACAAGACGGAGCAGTCGACCGACATAAAGTATTGTGCACATTGTGCACAATACTTTATGTATTCTCAGCTTAGGGCGATCGTGGCTCAAGAGTTGGGAGTTCGCCTCGTAATCGGAAGGTTGCCGGTTCTAGCCCCGGCTCGGACAGTCTCGGTCGTTGTGTCCTTGGGCAAGACACTTCACCCGTTGCCTACTGGTGGTGGCCAGAAGGGCCGATGGTGCAATATGGCAGCCTCGCTTCTGTCAGTCTGCCCCAGGGCAGCTGTGGCTACAACTGTAGCTGCCATCACCAGTGTGTGAATGTGTGGATGACTGGGTGTGTAAAGCGCTTTGGGGTCCCTAGAGGGGACTAGTAAAAGCGCTATACAAATACAGGCCATTTACCATTAAAACATTAACGCGGAGCTTACATTAGTCAGAGATGCTGCTAGCACTTTGGCTAGCGCGTCCCCTCATAGAGCGTCGGGAACTCAGTAAGTCTACCTCGGACAAACTGACTGACACAATTACCAAGTGAATTGCAACAAACTGCAGATCTATTAATATTGTTGAGGACACAGGCTTTACAAAGGTGTTGCAAGTTGCCTCTCAAGATGCATTTCACAAGTCTCCAACAAGAAGCACAATAATGTCAAAAATTCATCAGCTGAATGAAACTGAAAAGGAGAAAAAGCACAAGCCTTTAGCTTTAGCTGTAGCCAAACACGTCGCCCGACAGGAGACTGCTGGACTTCTGTCAGTAACAGTAAGTATCTTGGTGTTACTGCTGCTGGGAAGTAAAGTCATTTGCATTGAGAATAATGAAGACAGAGGAGAGGAGAGTTTTTGATCTTAGTCAAAAATCTATCCATCAGCTTCAGCGTGTCCAGAACTCTGCTGCTCGTATCATCACCAGGACTCCTTCTATGCACCACATCACTCCTGCTCTGCAGCAGCTTCACTGACTTCCAGTTAAATACCGCATCAATTTCAAGATACTTTTGTACACGTTCAAGGCTATCCATCATCTCTCGCCTTCATACCTCTCTGACCTGGTTCAGCTCACCATCCCTTCTCCATGTCTCACATCCTCCTCCTCTCTTTCTCTTTCCGTCCCTTCCCCCAGCTAGCCACCGTGGGGCGCAAGGCTTTCTGCTGCTCTGCCCCCCATCATCCCTTCCTCCTGAGATAAGAAACATCACTTCCCTCCCTCTTTTTAAATCCAGACTCAAAACTCACCTGTTCACATTAGCCTATTCCACATACATTTGTCCATCCTGCTACTTTAATTTATTTTATTTATTTGCTCAACGTTTTATCCTTATTATGTTTGTTCCTGTTATTGCTTGTGTACAGTGTCCTTGAGTGTTTTGAAAGGCGCTTTCTTAAATAGAATGTACTATTATTATTATTATTGTTATTAATAATAATACCAAGTACCGAGGTAGTGAGTAACTATGTAAGCTGATAACTAACCTTCTCAGTTATTTTGCAGCAGTGTTGAAAACATGACTGAAATTAATGTAATGAGTGAGGACAGGGACTCAGCTCATCAGTTTACTGTCAGTCTGCACTGTTGGAGCAGACGGTGAGTTGAAAGGCGTCAGCCTGCCAGTGTGCTGTTCATACCAGAGAGTTTCAAGTCTCCACTGAGGATCCTTCAGCCCAGCAGAAAGAAGCTTCACTCCTGAGTCTCCTGGGTGATTGTAGCTCAGATCCAGCTCTCTCAGATGGGAAGGATTGGAATTCAGAGATGAGGCCAGAGAAGTATAGCCCTCCTCTGTGATCTGGCAGCCTGACAGCCTGGAGACAGACAGACAGACAGACAGACAGACAGACAGACAGACAGACAGACACACACACACACACACACACACACACACACACACACACACACACACACTATCTTAGCTTTTATTTTTCAATCGTTATTTTGTTGCAACTTAAAAATATAAAAAATAATGAAAGGAGTATCTGTGTATGAGTTTGTCTTAGTATAATGGTGAAAATGCTAATACAGAACTAAAGGATAGGATTTTTTCTCTATATATTTACATAATATATAATAAGTGGATTGTATATCAAAATAAATGCACACAACATGAATATACAGGGTGGGCATTTATATGGATACACCGTAATAACATGGGAATGGTTGGTGATATTAAAGTCCTGTTTGTGGCACATTAGTATATGTGAGGGGGCAAACTCCTCAAGATGGGCGGTGACCATGGTGGCCATTTAGAAGTCGGCCATCTTGGATACAACTTTTGTTTTTTCAATAGGAAGAGGGCCATGTGACACATCAAACTTATTGGTAATGTCACAAGAAAAACAATGGTGTGCTTGGTTTCAACGTAACTTTATTCTTTCATGAGTTATTTACAAGTTTCTCTTTGTTCACAGCCATTGACATGTCGAAGAGGTTAACACGTGAGGATCGAAATTGTGTTGATATCTGGTGAACGCAGTAACCGGGTCATTGCAGCAGATTTCAATGCAAGACACCCTACGAGACCACCCATCTCCCATGCTACAGTTAGCAAACTGCTTGCTAAGTTTCGTGAAACTGGTTCAGTGTTGGATTTGCTAAGAGTGGCATTAGTCGAACATCCCTTTGGCGGATATTAGCTACTCACAAATGGAACCCTTACAAACTCCAGCTACTGCAGCATCTCAGCGAGGATGACCCAGATCAGCGCACAGAATTTGCAGAATGGGCAAAACAAAAACTGGAACAGGACCCTCAGTTCACGCAGAAGATTTTGTTCAGTGATGAGGCAAACTTTTATGTGAATGGTGAAGTTAACAAACAAAACCACCGCTATTGGTCTGACACTAACCCACATTGGATGGATCCCTCCAAGACTGTTGGAACAACAAAAGTGATGGTTTGGTGTGGTATATGGGGTACAATGATAGTGGGTCCATTCTTCATCAATGGAAACCTCAAGGCCTCTGGATATTTGAAATTGCTACATGATGATGTGTTTCCTCTTTATGCACTGAAGCTGGCACGTTCCCTGAGTTTTTCCAGCAAGATGGTTCACCACCACATTATGGGTGCCAGGTCTGAGCATTCCTAGATGAACAGTTTCCTGGAAAGTGGATTGGTCGTCATGGGCCAGTTGAATGGCCCCCCAAGGTCTCCCGATCTGACCCCCTTAGACTTTTATCTTTGGGGTCATCTGAAGGCAATTGTCTATGGTGTGAAGATACGAGATGTGCAGCACCTGAAACTACGGATACTGGATGGCTGTGCTGGCATTTCTCCTGTGGTGTTGCTATCAGTGTGTGCAGAGTGGGAGAAGAGGGTTGCACTGACAATCCAACACAATCGGCAGCACATTGAACACATTTTATAAGTGGTCAGAAACTTGTAAATAACTCATGAAAGAATAAAGTTACGTTGAAACCAAGCACACCATTGTTGTTCTTGTGACATTACCAATAAGTCTGATGTGTCATATGGCCCTCTTCCTATTGAAAAAACAAAAGTTGTATCCAAGATGGCCGACTTCTAAATGGCCACCATGGTCACCGCCCATCTTGAGGATTTTGCCCCTCACATATACTAATGTGCCACAAACAGGACTTTAATATCACCAACCATTCCCATGTTATTACGGTGTATCCATATAAATGCCCACCCTGTACAATAACTAAATACAGATATAGAATACACATTTGAAATTAAGAAATATATACAGGTTATGAGGGCGTGGGGAGGAAAGAACATGATGTGCGCAGTGCTTTTACTGAATCAAGTGTCCAAAGTTATTGTAGCCTGAGTAAATACTCAGGTGTGTCATTGTGTGTTAACTGAGCAGTGAGCAGGGTGAGGGAGCATTGTTTTGCTTTATTTTGTTGTTCCTAGGGCTATGCTTTTCTGGACAGAGATCTCAGATGTTGTTCCTGGATCTGCTGGAGCCACTCACCTAGCTTGGGGGTCCCTGCACCTAATGCTCTGATTACCACTGGGACCACTGTTACCTTCACCCTCCACATCTTCTCCAGCTCGTCTCTCAGCTTCTCATGTTCCTCCCTAATGTTGCTATAAGATAACCTTTATTAGTCCCACACGTGGGAAATTTGTTATGTATGACTCATTATAGCTAAATGTATTAACAACTACTGTGTCCCGTTGGATAGCTGTCACCCTTTTGTCTGTCTCTGGACGTCCCACAGGATCTCAGCTCAGTCATTCTCAACCACTCTAGGGGGCATATCCCGATTCAACCTCGGGACGTCCAGGCCATACTCGACACAGATGTTCCTATATGCTATACCAGCGACTTGGTTATGGCGTTCCATGTATGCACTCCCTTTGCATCTCATACCCTGCTGTTATGTGCTGGATTGTCTCAGGGGTATCTTTACATAGCCTCCACCTGGGGTCTTGCCTGGTGTTGTCAGTGTGCTCAGAGGTTATTCCTGTGCTGCCATGATTAGTGCCTCTGTGCTGTTTTTCCATGATGGCTACTGTTCTTTTTCCTCTTGTGTCTGTGAAGGTTCTCAGTCCTCCAGGTCATCGTAGTCTAAGGAGCTTGGAAAGAAAAGTGTCTGGACTTCCTTAACTTCTTAGTTACATTCAGCTGACTCCTCAGGACTTGCCTGACCCTCTGCAGGTACTTGGTGGTTGCAGCTTTCCTAGAGACCTCTTCACGGTTCCAATTTGCCTGTGGTGCCCCAGGTACTTGTGACTGTCCTTACTATCTGGTAATGTAATCTCCTCACTTCTGACTACCTTCCCTCTCTTTGTTACTATCCGACTACACTTCTCTAATCTAAATGACATTCTGATGTCGCTGCTCTACATCCAAGTGGTATGAATCAGTCGATGTCTTCTCCAGTCCTGGCATTCAGCTTGATGTCATCCAAAGAGAGGAGGTGGCTAACAATTGCTCCATTCTGTAGTCGGTATCCGTAGCCTCTCTTGTCAACGATCTGGCTGAGGTGGTTCAGGCCTATGCATAACAGCAGTAAGGACAAAGCATCTCTTTGGTAAATCTCTCACTTTGTGGTGTAATTTGCTTGAAGGTGGCCTAAGGTTCCTGTTGATCTTATATAATTCTAGTACAGGAGCTGAGGCAGGATGGGACTTTTCCCTCCTGATAATCCTTGAGGATTAGGGCTATCAGTTAGCCATTCTGGGTGTGTCTCATCCATTAGCAGCAGGTATATTTGTGCTGCTAGACACATGTGGAATGCTGTTAGCGTCATGTCAAGGGCTGGTACTGTCCATCTCTTCATACTTGAGACTCTTTCTTGGATGTCTCCCACTGTGATGGTTACTGGATCCTGTTCAGGGAGATTGATATGGTCTGCTCTTAGATCCACTAGCCATTGAACATTGTTGTTATAAGTTGAGTCTTCTCCCATATGGTCTTCTAGTATTCCTCAGTCTCCAACTTTGGTGGGGCTGCTCTCAAATTGTTTTCCTGCCATTGACACTACACATCCGTGGAGAACAGTTGGTTTATTCTCCTGGCTTCCAACGTTCTCATATACCTCTTCAAATGGGTAGCTGTGAGTCTTTGCTTAGCAGTTCCCAAGGCCTCAGGTATGGCCAGCTTTCTGTGCTTCTTAGTCACCCATTTCTTAATCACAACTTTCTGCCACGAACTTCTGTGCTATCTTGATTTTGGCTGTTCAAGTTGTAGCCAAGCATCTCAAGAATGTCACCCAATCTAGGAGGGTGGGGATGATGACGACCTGATGGCACCCCCTTGCCGTAGCACTTGTGTTGTACATCATCAATCTCTAAGGAACACTAAACTACCAGTTGTTTTGCCATTGGTCCAAATGTTGGGTGTCAAAGAATGGGTGTCCATAGGATCCACATCCACTTCATGTAACCCTTTGAGCTGGAATTACTTTCCATTCCAACAGGTCCCCATTCTCATCCCTTGTTCACTTATGGATTCTTGTTCCACTTCTCGTCAATGTATCCTAGTTCCTCTGCACCTGACACAGACCTTGTTAATCCAGGTGAAATCTGACATAGGATGTCTTCAGTGCACTTTCTACATGTTTCCTCTTACTATTCAAATCGACATCCCTCCTAAAAACCTTTCTGTGAAACCCATCATACTTAACATTTAGTATTTTCTGGGTCTTAATAAGTTCTCTGAGGTCATCCTTCATATTGTCCAAGGACATCACATAATGACAGTGGAATGGTCAGCTTATATTTCCTCATCTCTCTCATCACCAGCTCCGGAGCTAACTCATCTCTCAGCCCAGTTGTCTCCTCTGTAGCTCGTCAATGATAACAAGTGCTGTTCCATGTAGTATCACTGACATGCTCAGTACCGTAATTTAGTCTTGTGTGTAAACACTGGACTCTAAAATAACAAAAAAATGAAAATCCCAGGAGTAAAAAAGAAGTGACAAATAACAAAGCAACAAAGCATGGAAGAGCTACTGTAACTGCTGTGACTCAGCAAGGCAATTTAGTGGTTAACCAAAGCACTCTCATAGGTATTGAAAGTTTGCAAAGATGCAAACTTACAAAGAAAATAGTTAGCAGTTAGGGGTTAGATGTCCTTTGCCACAGTTATTAGTGAATGGATTAGAGCTATATTTTAAAACAATCTTCTCAAATAATCTTAGAAGGTATTGTGAAGGCTGAAGTCAACTCTTGTACTGTTTTAGAGTAACAAAATGAGCCGATTTTGCCAAACATAGTTCTGGAGCAATATATAAAAACAATGACAGTTTCCTCCTGTTTGCAAGGGGTAATCTTCTTACTTGAGAGTCTCTAGTGCACAGTCAGAATCCTTCAGTCCAGCAGAGAGTAGCGTCACGCCTAAATCGCGCAGATCGTTGTTACTCACGTCCAGCATTCTCAGACTTAACACCTGGGAGCTGAGTACCAACGACAATTGGTGGCAGCATTTCTCTGTAAGACCAGTTTGATTCAACCTGATGAAAAAAACAAAATTTCTTGTAGCCTTAGTTTTTATAATCAAGGTAAGTACAAATAGTGCAACAGAGCACTACATAGATATTTCACAATGTGATCTGACCTGAGCGTCTGTAGGTTAAAGTGATGATGAACCATTCCAGCAGAGAGTAGACTCACTCCTGAATCCTTCAGGTCATTGTTACTCAGGTCCAGGTCTCTCAGACTGGAGAACTGGGAGTTGAGAAATAGTGAGAAGTCCTGGCAGCATTTTGCTGTGAGATTGGTTTGATTCAACCTGACAGAAAGCAACGAACAGCAATAAATATACTTGCATTTAATTCAATTCAATTCAATTCAATTTTATTTATATAGCGCCAAATCACAACATAAGTCGCCTCAAGGCGCTTCATAGATACAGAGAAAAACCCAACAATCATATGACCCCTATGAGCAAGCACTTTGGCAACAGTGGGAAGGAAAAACTCCCTTTTAACAGGAAGAAACCTCCGGCAGAACCAGGCTCAGGGAGGGGCGGCCATCTGCTGCGACCGGTTGGGGTGAGAGAAGGAAGACAGGATAAAGACATGCTGTGGAAGAGAGACAGAGGTTAATAACAGATATGATTCAATGCAGAGAGGTCTGTTAATACATAGTAAGTGAGAAAGGTGACTGGAAAGGAAAAACTCAGTGCATCATGGGAATCCCCCGGCAGCCCATGTCTATTGCAGCATAACTAAGGGAGGATTCAGGGTCACCTGGTCCAGCCCTAACTATATGCTTTAGCAAAAAGGAAAGTTTTAAGCCTAATCCTGAAAGTAGAGATAGTGTCTGTCTCCTGAATCCAAACTGGAAGCTGGTTCCACAGAAGAGGGGCCTGAAAACTGAAGGCTCTGCCTCCCATTCTACTTCTAAATACTCTAGGAACAACAAGTAGGCCTGCAGAGCGAGAGCGAAGTGCTCTAATAGGGTGATATGGTACTACAAGGTCATTAAGATAAGAAGGGGCCTGATTATTTAAGACCTTGTATGTGAGGAGCAGGATTTTGAATTCAATTCTGGACTTAACAGGAAGCCAATGAAGGGAAGCCAAAACAGGAGAAATCTGCTCTCTCTTTCTAGTCCCTGTCAGGACTCTTGCTGCAGCATTTTGGATTAGCTGAAGGCTTTTCAGTGAGTTTTTAGGACATCCTGATAATAATGCATTACAGTCGCCCAGCCTGGAAGTAATAAATGCATGAACTAGTTTTTCAGCGTCACTCTGAGACAGGATATTTCTAACTTTAGAGATGTTGTGCAAATGGAAGAACGCAGTCTTACATATTTGTTTAATATGTGCATTGAAGGACATGTCCTGGTCAAAAATGACTCCAAGGTTCCTCACAGCGTTACTGGAGGCCAAGGTAATGCCATCCAGAGTAAGAATCTGCTTAGATACCATATTTCTAAGCTTTTCAGGGCCGAGTACAATAACCTCAGTTTGATCTGAATTAAGAAGCAGAAAGTTAGCGGCCATCCAGGTCTTTATGTCTTTAAGACATTCCTGCAGTTTAACTAATTGGTGTGTGTTATCTGGCGTCATGGACAGATAGAGCTGGGTGTCATCTGCATAGCAGTGTAAATGTATGCTATGTCTTCTAATGATGCTGCCTAAGGGAAGCATGTATAATGTAAACAGAATTGGTCCTAGCACTGAACCCTGTGGAACTCCATAATTAACCTCAGTGTGTGAAGAGGACTCTCCATTTACATGCACAAACTGGAGTCTATTGGATAGATATGATACAAACCACTGTCCACCTGTTTGCAGTCAGACAGCATTAATTCCTATACAGTTGTGTTTATGAGTTAAAGTATAAACAAACAATGATGATAAATGATAAACATGGAACATAATCCACTGCAGCATTATAATACAACATTTCAGCTTACCTGAGGCTCTGTAGTGTACAGTGAGGAGTCTCCAGTATTGCAGAGAGCAACTTCAGACCCAATCCCTGCAAACTGTTGTTACTCAAGTCCAGTTCTCTCAGATTGGAGGACTGGGAACTGAGAACTGAAGACAAAGCTTCACAGCTTCTCTCTGACAGATTACAGCCACTCAATCTGTAGAGGAAATAGTGATGCTGTTTATATGCTATAAAAAACTACTGTAGTAATTATAAAATGAATAATTATATTATTGTTTGAACAAATTTCCTCATGAGATATGATGACTATCAGTTTTACATAATTTAAATAATTTAACAAAAACTAGCACCTGTGATGCCATTGCAATATCTGGTTATCTGTGCACCTACAGAGCTTTGGTGGAGGCTTTGACCACTGGCAAAAGCCTCAAAAAAGCTTCTTCTGAAGCAGAAGCAGAATATTTCTTCAGGTCAAAAACATGCAGATGTTCTTCTGATGACAGTAAGATGAAGACCAAAGCTGACCACTGAGCTGGAGAAAGTTCATATGTGGAGAGGCTTCCTGAACTTAAATACTGTTGGATCTCCTCTATTAAAGAACGATCATTTAGTTCATTCAGACAGTGGAGAAGATTAATGTTTCTCTCTGGAGACAGATTCTCACTGAGCTTCTCCTTGATATACTGGATTGTTTTCTGGTTGGTTTTTGACTGACAGTCTGTTTTTTTCAGTAGGCTCTGTAGTTTATCCTGATTGGTCTGCAGTGAAAGACCCAAGAGGAAGCGAAGGAACAAGTCCAGGTGTCCGTTTGGACTCTGTAAGGCCCTGTCAATCGAAATCCTGTGGATCTTCTTTGAAGATGTTTTACTTAAAAGCAGTTGAAGATTGCGCATTGAGGGCTGTGGTGAAAGCATCACATTTTTGTTGCTATTTATAAGCGACATCCTCACATAAAGAGCAGCCAGAAACTCCTGAACGCTCAGATGGACGAAGCTGAACATCTTGTCTTTCCCTTTCCTTCCTCGATCTTCTTTGAAGATCTCTGTGAACACTCCTGAGCACACCGAGGCTTCACTGAAATCAATGCCGCTCTCTCTCAGATCCTTCTCATAGAAGATCAGGTTGCCCTTTTCCAGCTGCTCAAAGGCCAGTTTTGCTAATGACTTAATGTATTGAATGCTCTTCTTTGGGCCATACTTTTCTTTTGTCCGATCAATCTGAAACACCAGGAACTCTGCGTACATCTCAGTCAGAGTCTTGGGCAGCTCTCCTCCCTCTCTGGTTTTCAACACATCCTCCAGAACTGTTGCAGTGATCCAGCAGAAGACTGGGATGTGGCACATGATGTGGAGGCTTCGTGATGTCACGATATGGGAGATGAGTTTGTCAGCCTCCTCCTTACCTTTGACTCTCTTCCTGAAGTAGTCCTCTTTCTGTTGGTCGGTGAACCCCCTGACCTCTGTTGTACTGCTGATAAACTCTCGAGGGATCTGATTGGCCGCTGCAGGCCGTGTGGTTACCCAGATGCGAGCAGAGCGTAGCAGTTTCCCATTGATGAGTTTCCTCAGCAGGACATCTGTTTTAGTTGCCTTTGTTACATCGACAGAGCGAATGTCTTCAGAATGAAGGTCGAGATGAAGGCGGCTCTCATCCAGCCCATCAAACACAAACAGAAGTTTGAATTTACTCTTGTCATAGTTGGTGATTCCTGATGACTGAACATCTGTAAAGATGTAATTAAGAGCCTCCTGTGGGATGCCTACAGTTTCTGGGATGCATTCATGAATGAGCTCTGCCAAACTGAACTTTTCTCCCTTCAGAGGATTCAGCTGACGGAAGGTGAAGGGGAAAATCAGATGCACATCTTGATTGGACATTTGTTCAGCCCAGTCCAAAACAAACTTGTGAACAAGGAAAGTTTTTCCAATTCCTGCGATTCCATTGGTCATCACTGTTTTGATGGGTCTGTAGTCTCCTGAAGGATGTTTGAACATGTCTGTGGGTCTAATAGGTTTCTCTGGCTCTGCTGGCTTCCATACTTTGTCAATCTGCTGGATCTCATGCTGTGTGTTGATATGTACATCATACCCAGCTGTGATGTACAGCTCTGTGTAGATATCAACCAGACGCTGTTTATCTTCTGTCCAACCTTCTTGGGTGCACATAAACTTGTCCTGGAAGTTTGATTGAAGTATTTGCTGGAAAAACTTGATGGGGCGAGGCTCTGGTACTGGAACCACCACATCTGTATCAAACATGGGGGGAAAAATACAAAGTGTGCTGTGTATATTTCACGAATACCCATGTTGTTGTTGGAAGCAGTAAACAAAAAGTTCCATAAAGTTAAGCTTTCATTGTTCAGAGGAAGATCAATAATACAACAGCACTGGTAAAAATTAAAAAAAAAAATGTTAAGCCAGAGTTAAAATGTCCTCAGGTTACTGAATTTAGTGAATCCCTGGTCCTGGATCCAGCCCTCTGGATGAAACTACTTGCTAGGTGTAAGGAACCTATGTTGTCACACAGCAAGCAGGTAATGCTCATTATGAGGTGGCCTCACTTCCTTGTGACAATTAAAGCCCACGCAGCAGATGTTGCTGCATTGCAACAGCAGTTTACTTGTGTATTCTCCCTTCTGCCCTCTGACCATCCTCATAAAATACTTCTGTGATCTCAGAAGGACCTGACACAACTCCGTAACTGTGGTTTGTGTTTTTTTATTGTTATCACACAATCTGCTTTATGTCACCTTTTGGGACCTTCCAGTGCACGCTGCCCTGGCTCCAGTGCTCTCCTCCAGCAGCAGCCTCCTCTCCAGGCCTGGTTGCTACTGAAATAGGGAATGCAAAATGCTCACTGGCTGTGCAAAACCAGCCTCCCTGACACCAAACCATGAACCTGCTGCTCCACTCCTCCCCTGCAGCTGAGCCACCAACCACACAGTGCCACCCCCCCACCGCCCAATTTGTGCCGGGGAGCCATCTGGCCTAGCCGGTCTTGAGACGCGGACAGGATGCAATAGCTGCTGTTTAATCCATCTGTGGCTGCACATGCTCACAACCCAATTGGTACCCCAGAAACTATACGTCCCTCCGTCCAACCACACACTTTTTCGGGTTGGCCGTGAACCCCGCCTGCCTCAGAGACTCCAGGACCACTACCACCCGCTGCATATGCTCCGCCCAAGTGTCACTATTGATGATGATGTCTTCTAGGTCGGCTGCAGCATATGCAGCATAAGGACGCAGCAACCGGTCTCTGAGACGCTGGAAGGTGGCAGGGGCTCCGAACAAGCCGAACATTAGTGTAACGAACTGGTACAAACCGTAAAGAGTAGAGAAGGCCCTTTTTTACTTTGACTCTGCAGACCAGGCAATCTGCCAGTAGCCCTCGGTTAAATCCAGCATCGGCATGGGATAAGCATCAAACTGTGACACCTCATTCACCTTGCGATAGTCTATGCAGAACCGTATAGATCCATCTTTCTTCACTACCAGAACTATGGGGCTACACCAAGCGATGTGTGACTCTTCTATTACTCCCAGCTTCAAAACCTCCGCCAATTCCCTTTGCATGATTTGTCTTCTGTGCTCCAGTAACCTGTAGGGTCGTGAACGGACCATCACGCCAGGCCGCTTGTCAAATTGATGCACCATAACAGTCATACAGCTGGGTAAGGGGGAGAACACATTTGCAAAATGCTGTTGCAATGCAGCAACATCCACAACATCCACATCCACACCTGTGTGCAATGGTCATCACAAATGAAGGGAGGCAGGAATGGTGGAATCTGGAGTCCAACCAACGATCCCAGTTGCGTTCATCTTCGTGAACGAACTTCCGAATCATGGACATTAAGGTCTTATTCAGCCGCTCCACCAGCCCATCATACTGAGGGTGGTAGGCTTAATGCCCTACAATTCGTAAAGCTAGACATCTATGAAGTTCTTTGGTCAGTCAGTATCTTTTTCAGGATACCGACTCAAGAGATGACCTGAAATAGCACCTGTGCCACACTTAGCAGAAATGGTGTGCAGTGGCACTGTTTGTGGATATTGCCTTGCAAATCCACCAGAACTAACACAAAGCGATAGCCGTGTGAAATGGCCCGATGAGGTCCATGCCAATGCGCTCAGGACCTCCATTAATGGTAATGAGTGTAACTGGAGCCGATGGGGTCTCCCGAGAAGGCCCCACTGACTCCTCCGCTGAGCACCACACAGACCTCGCATGTCCCTACCGGCCGCGATTGCATACTGACACACAGTCCAATTAATTTACCGAACCTGGGCCAATCCGTCCGCAAAATTAAGGGGTGCGTCATCCTGCCTGTCACACAGCTTACCATGGCAGGATATTTAAAAGTAAAATGGGAGGCGGACTCTTCAGCTTTCATGCCTCTCTTCGGTGTTGGGTGCTCTCCACTGACTGTGCCAGAATAAAATACGAATAGTAGACAGCAGGAATAAATAACAAACAAGAGAAAGTCACACACTGGAGAACAAATGCTTGGAAGTAGTGCAAAGAAAAGACTCTAGAGTCGGGATTGTTGGGGTGGTGGGTGGAGGATAGTGTTTGTTAGCAGTCTGACTGGCCCAGGGGAAGAAGCTGTTGGTGAGTGTGGAGCAGGGAAATTATTTTACTGCTATTGTTAAATAATCTTCATTATTACCATTGCATTAATAATATAATCTGCAGTATGATCATTGCTTTAACAATGTAACAGATAGCTTTAAGAAGGCTTTAAGGTTTTATGCATACAGGTATTAAATTAACTTTGTATTCCAGGTGAAAACATTTATTTAGTAGATGACATATCCATAGTTTTAGTTCAGTTATTACATATCTGAGAGTGGCTTCTGTCTCTCTGTCTAGAGGTCAGGAGCTAGTCGCGAGGTGAAATAGGGTGCAATTGTGGTTAGCACACACACACACACACACTCAGTTAGAGAATCATTTATAGGTGAAAGTTTAATCATGTTTTGCTTGGGGTTGCAAAAAGAGCAGTTTGTCGCAGAACTGCTGCTGAGGTGTCAGGATGACAAGCGAGCATCCGGCAGTGACAGGAAGCACCTGTTATGAAGATAGAAGACAATTGTTCTTTTAAACGGTGTCAAAAGTCGTTGTGGTTTTGATATTGACGTATGTGTATATATCCTGTCTGTGACGCATGAAGGGGCGTCAGTAAATCAAGCCCTGACGGTATAAAATCTGTGTATGCTTTGAGGAAGTCGAAGATTAATTCCTGTCTGTGCACAGATTATTCTTCCCACACGTGTGTAGTCATTAAAATCATTGTTTGACCAAAAGCTTCTGGACCAAGGGTGGTTTGTACTCTCCCTCCTCAATTTTGAACCTTAACATGAGTCTGGAGGTATGGGACCTGACTGGCCTGAGAGGGCAGCGGGTCAAATAGGTGGTGGGCGGGGCTCGCCTGTGATGCCCCTGGTTTTCCTGAGACAGGAGGATCTGGAGATGGCCTCCAGGGGTGGCAGAGGGCAGCCAGTAAGTTATTTGGGAGTTGTTAATGACCCCTGTGCAGCCTTCCTGTTTTCAGTTGTGGCCCCTGAGTACCAAACACGAGGCAGGAGGAGAGCACACTCTCCACTGAGGAGGAGTAGAAGCTTCACACAGGGTAACTATGTGCGAATGCTGTTTGTTGATTACAGTTCAGCGTTTAACACAATAGTGCCCTGCAGACTGTTCACAAAGCTGAGGGATCTGGGACTTAACAGCCATCTGTGTGCATGGGTGTTGGACTTCCTCACTGGCAGAACTCAGGTGGTGAGGGTGGGCAGGTGCTTCTCCAACAGCATCACCATCAACACAGGAGCACCTCAGGGATGTGTCCTCTCGCCACTGCTCTACTCCCTCTACACTTCAGACTGTGTGGCCACCCACGGCTCCAACACCATTGTGAAGTTTGCTGACGACACAGTGGTGTTGGGTGCCATCTCCAACAACGATGAGGCGGCCTACATGGATGAAGTGAAGAATCTGGCATCGTGGTGCCAGGACAACCACCTCCAGCTGAACGTCAGCAAGAACAAGGAGCTGGTGGTGGACTTCAGAAGGGGTCAGCACAGAGACTACAAGCCCATCATCATCAATGGAGCTCCAGTGGAGAGGGTGCAGTCCTTCAAGTATCTTGGTGTCCACATCTCCTCAGACCTGACATGGGCTGCCCACATTCAGGTCCAGACCAAAAAGGCTAGGCAGCGCCTGTATCACCTACGACAACTGACGAAGTTCAGGGTCTCTCCAAAGATCCTCAGGACTTTCTATACAGGCGCTGTGGAGAGCATCCTCACACAGAACATGACATCGTGGTTTGGGAACAGCTGTGTGAAGGACCAAAAAGCTCTCCAGAGAGTGATCCGTACAGCAGAACGCTGCTGCAGGATTGCTCTCCCCCCGCTTCAGGACACCTACACCAGGAGATGCCGGACTAGAGCAGATACTGAAGGACCCGTCCCATCCTGGCAACAAACTGTTCCAACTTCTGCAATCTGGTAGAAGGTTCCGCATCTTCTGGGCAAGGACAGAGAGACTCAAGAGGAGCTTCTATCCCCAAGCCATCCGTGCCCTCACTCCCACACACACACACACACACACACACACACACACACACACACACACACACACACACACACACACACACACACACACACACACCCTCTCACATCATCCATAAGTGGCTGAGACAGGACTCTCTTCCAGACACTCTAAACACACCGGCACAATGTACATTTCAAATTCCTTTCATTTTAGATATGTTCAGATTCTGTAAAATAGTCAGATTGTCTATTCTTATTTAATTCACTTAATGTACAGAATTCACCTGCTTGCTGCATACATGCTACTACTGCACACTCACCTAATGTATATATCATATATAATGTTCTAATGTTCTTCCTCCCCTCCCTCAGTTAGCAGTTATAGTGGAAGTGAGATAGCAGTAGGACAAGTAAAGATTTTCTTTGTAAACTTTTTACCAAAACCCTTAATATTATTGTCTAAATTTATCATGTGTGTCCAGCACTTTGGGCAGTGGTTGCTGTTTTTAATGTGCTCTATAAATAAAGTTGGCTCAGTTATGTCTTTCAAGACTTCCTTAAATACCCAAAATTCCAAGTTTACCTTCAGGGTGATGAAGAGGAGCCTGTGTGTGTGAGAGAGAAGACAAGCTCTGCAACAGGTCATTCCTGCTGATCCTTTCTAGAACCTTTCTGGTCACCTCCACAGCTCCTGGAAGTCTGTAGATCTGTACCATCAGAGTCACGGTGTGCCGCCTTTCTGCTTTTTCCAGCTGACATGCTTTGATTGATGGAAGGCCTTCCAGGCAGCTGTCCTGCTGCAGGAACCACTTAAAGTCATCAAACTCCTTTCCTGTCAACTCCTCCAGAATGTCCAAGAGGTCGACTGACGTCATGAGAGCTCCCTGATAGTCAGAGAATAAAAGTCAATTCAATTCAATTCAACTGTTGTTGTGATAAAGTGTGTGTGTATGTATATGTATGTGTATATATAATTCCCCACTCGCCCCTGTGGGCGGTCAATCCTTCCAGCTCGGGTCCTCTACCAGAGGCCTGGGAGCTTGAGGGTCCTGCAGTATCTTAGCTGTTCCCAGGACTGCGCTCTTCTGGACAGAGATCTCCGATGTTGTTCCCGGGATCTGCTGGAGCCACTCGCCTAGCTTGGGAGTCACCGCGCCTAGTGCTCCGATTACGTCATGACATCACGACGTCAGTATATATACATATGTATACATATGTATATATATACATATGTATACATATGTATACATATGTATATATATGCATATATATACATATGTATACATATACATATGTATATGTATACATATGTATGTATACATATACATATGTATATATATGTATACATATGTATACATATGTATACATATGTATACATATATATACATATGTATACATATACATATGTATACATATGTATACATATACATATGTATACATATGTATATGTATACATATGTATACAGTGGGGCAAAAAAAGTATTTAGTCAGCCACCGATTGTGCAAGTTCCCCCACTTAAAATGATGACAGAGGTCAGTAATTTGCACCAGAGGTACACTTCAACTGTGAGAGACAGAATGTGAAAAAAAATCCATGAATCCACATGGTAGGATTTGTAAAGAATTTATTCGTAAAGTAGGGTGGAAAATAAGTATTTGGTCACCTCAAACAAGGAAAATCTCTGGCTCTCACAGACCTGTAACGTCTTCTGTAAGAAGCTTTTCTGTCCCCCACTCGTTACCTGTATGAATGGCACCTGTTTGAACTCATCATCTGTATAAAAGACACCTGTCCACAGCCTCAAACAGTCAGACTCCAAACGCCGCCATGGCCAAGACCAAAGAGCTTTCGAAGGACACCAGGAAAAGTATTGTAGACCTGCACCAGACTGGGAAGAGTGAATCTACAATAGGCAAGCAGCTTGGTGTGAAAAAATCAACTGTGGGAGCAATCATCAGAAAATGGAAGACATACAAGACCACTGATAATCTCCCTCGATCTGGGGCTCCACGCAAGATCTCATCCCGTGGGGTCAAAATGATCATGAGAACGGTGAGCAAAGATCCCAGAAGCACACGGGGGGACCTGGTGAATGACCTGCAGACAGCTGGGACCAAAGTAACAAAGGTCACCATCAGTAACACACTACAACGGCAGGGAATCAAATCCCGCAGTGCCAGACGTGTTCCGCTGCTGAAGCCAGTGCATGTCCAGGCCCGTCTGAAGTTTGCCAGAGAGCACATGGATGATACAGCAGAGGATTGGGAGAATGTCATGTGGTCAGATGAAACCAAAGTAGAACTTTTTGGTATAAACTCAACTCGTCGTGTTTGGAGGAAGAAGAATACTGAGTTGCATCCCAAGAACACCATACCTACTGTGAAGCATGGGGGTGGAAACATCATGCTATGGGGCTGTTTTTCTGCCAAGGGGACAGGACGACTGATCCGTGTTAAGGACAGAATGAATGGGGCCATGTATCGTGAGATTTTGAGCCAAAACCTCCTTCCATCAGTGAGAACTTTGAAGATGAAACGAGGCTGGGTCTTCCAACATGACAATGATCCAAAACACACCGCCCGGGCAACAAAGGAGTGGCTCCGTAAGAAGTATTTGAAAGTCCTGGAGTGGCCTAGCCAGTCTCCAGACCTCAACCCCATAGAAAATCTGTGGCGGGAGTTGAAAGTCCGTGTTGCTCGGCGACAGCCCCAAAACATCACTGCTCTCGAGAAGATCTGCATGGAGGAATGGGCCAAAATACCAGCTACTGTGTGTGCAAACCTGGTAAAGACCTATAGTAAACGTTTGACCTCTGTTATTGCCAACAAAGGTTATGTTACAAAGTATTGAGTTGTATTTTTGTTATTGACCAAATACTTATTTTCCACCCTGATTTACCAATAAATTCTTTACAAATCCTACCATGTGGATTCATGGATTTTTTTTTCACATTCTGTCTCTCACAGTTGAAGTGTACCTCTGGTGCAAATTACTGACCTCTGTCATCATTTTAGGTGGGGGAACTTGCACAATCGGTGGCTGACTAAATACTTTTTTGCCCCACTGTATATATACATATGTATACATATACATATGTATACATATGTATATGTATACATACATATGTATACATATGTATGTATGTATACATACATATGTATACATATGTATGTATACATACATATGTATATATATACATATTAGGGGTGCAACGATATTCGTATCGATATTGAACCGTTCGATACAGTGCTTTCGGTTCGGTACGCATATGTATCGAACAATACAACATTTGTAATTTATTTTATCAATTTTCCTTCTGACGATGCTGTCTGTGTTGAGCGCTCAGTGAATCTGTGTTCGACTACTCCGCCTAGGCTGCACTGTCCAGCGCAGATCCACTGAGTGCTCAACACAGACAGCATCGTCAGAAGGAAGAGCGCAGGGCACCTCCCCCACCCTCATTCAGATCTGGCGTTTGGAATTATTTTGGTTTTCATGTGACGTATGACCCTGAAGGTAAGCGAGTCATGGACTAAAGTAAAACAGTATGTTTGCCATGCAATGCTCAATTACATTGGTGTGAACTAGTGTGCTAGCGCAGTTAGCTCGTTAACGTGTTGGCCGTCTAGCCCCATGCACAGAGCGATCGGCGGTAGCTCGTTAACGGAGATTTGCCGTGTTGTGGTTAAGGTCATTTCAACGAGATTAACCTGAAAGCACTAGTGGGAACACAACGAATATGACTGCACATTTACGCCGACATCATCCTAGTGCAAAGACAAAAACAACAAGCATGCTACTAACTTTAGCCGAGTCATTTAGACAGCTGTTAGCACATGATTCTCCTTATGCTGCTGAGAATATAGCCCAGAAGAAGCGGATAGTATAGCTTTTATTTTGGAAAGAGCCATTTCTCTGTAATAAACTCTCTTTTCCAAAGATGAGTGATTCCTCAATCAGATACAGGGCTCGCAATATCGCTAGCCTGACGTCCCGGAGCTAGCGATTTTTTCAGTTGGGCTACCAAAATCTATCTCTGCCCTGCCCGTCGGGCTATTGTAGGAAAAATATATGTCAATGCTTTTGCATTCTTTCAGAAATGTAGCTGGGTAATTATGTCATTGGCATCGGTGAGCCACTGTCAATATGTGACATATTGAAATCGCGTTTGAATTTGCGCTTGTTTTTTTGCTTTCACTTTGCAATCGTGCGAACTGTGTATAGAGAGCGACAGCACTGATCTGTGAGTGATGATAATTTGTGCACCAATTCCTCTGACATCGTCTTATTAATCGTTAGCTTACTATGCAAACATGACAAGTGAAATCTCCCGCAGCTTAAACATGTGAGAGGTTGATCGCGCAGAGAATCGCTGAGCTTATGTGAGTGCGCGTGTAAAAGCAGCAGGATATATATTTCAGTTCTGCTGAGCCAAATAAGACAGGTCAGGGTGAAGAAGTGACAGCCAAAGAAAAGCTTACCACAAAACGGAGAAGTTATGACAAATCAGACTATAAGGCAAAAAGAAAGTGCAGCTTTATGGTTTCATGGACAAAAGAATTTCTGTGGCTGCAATATGACGAGCTAAATAACCAGGGCTGCACATAAGTGGTCCGCAGGTGCGCATTCGCTGTCAAAATAAAAAACACGCACAAGGGTTAGGGTTAAATTTAAAAACTGTACTTTTGAGTTAAAATATATATTTATAATTTTAATAAATGACAAATTAAAAATGCATGAACATTTTTTTGTATCGAAAAAATATCGAACCGTGACACCAAAGTATCGAACCGAACCGAACCGTGAATTTTGTGTATCGTTGCACCCCTAATACATATGTATACATATGTATACAGGATCATTGGAGGCCCTCTCCCACCCATGTCCCAACTCTACCACAAACACATCATCCGACATGCGAACAGCATAGTGAAGGACACTTTCCACCCCTCACATGCACTGTTCTCCCTCCTTCTATCTGGCCGACGATTTCACAGCATCAAAACCGAGACAAAAAGACACTGCAAGAGCTTCTTCCTACAAGCAGTCAGAGCCCTAAACTCACTACCACCAAACACAAACACTTTTACAAACACCTTGCAATACTCATCAGAAGACTCAAAAACAACACAAACTTCCACAAATCCACTACAAACTGGACCTGGGAACAATACGCTTACTGCACACTCAGTCACATAGTTACTGAACACACATCTAAATTATACTATATTTGCACATTTTGCATCTTGCACATGTCTTCGTCCTGTCTCGTCTACAATATCCTGACTCATAACTTGAACCTGATATTTAATACCACTGCACAACATCTCACTTTACTTTAATGGCACAATCCACTTTGTATTGTCTCATTCCTGTCTTGGTTTATTGTACATAGATATAGTTGCTAATAGTACCTTTTTATCTCTTAACTTAACCCAAATTTAGCGATTTATTATTTATTTGTAATTTCTAGTTTCATATCTCTTGCACATAGATTATTTATATTCTTAGAATATATTAAAAGAAGAATATAAATAATCTATCTCCATTTTTTTTATAAATGCACCATGCATTTATATGAATGGCATTTCGGTACGCTGTATACTGTGTATATTGTTGCATTGACAATAAAGACCTTAAATCTTGAGTCTTGGAAGGCAGCTCTGAACACCACATCCAGAACACCTTGGATTTCGTACAGAGGGTGAGAGATGTCGTTAGGGAGTCAGATGAAACAATGGTCTCGTACAATGTTACATCTGTCTTCACTTCCAGTCACTGAAAAGGGAAAGACCATCTCTGAATCGAGGAGGGGGCCTGAGGGTACATCTGTCACCATGTTACAATGCTGTGATTGCAGCCATTCCCTGACTCTCTGTGAGTGGGACTCATGGTTATTGATCAGTGATCTCTGATCAATGGGCTACTCTATAATACAGTCAGCTGCACTGATAGCAATGTGGAATTGCACATATAGGAAGTGGAGTTGTTTTGCCCCCTTTCTCTAAAATTCTCAAAAACTGTACTGTTTACATGAAAATACTTACAGTATTACTGGCGTCTTTTTCCTTTAAATTACTGTGTAGACAACCAATACTTAGTAAAATACTTACATGACAGATTCAGAAAAATGACACCATAAATCACAGAGAAGTATTCACACATATGGTAATGAAGGTAAATACAAGTATTCAGTAAAGTATGTTAGAGTATGATGCTAGTACATTTAAATAACCATCATGAGAAACGCAACAGAAAGATTTTTCCTCAGCACACCAACAGCAGTAACACTGATCATGTTACTAAAGATTCTAAATACTACTAAATATTCTTTTAATGGTCCGACCACAACAGGTCTGATAGTTTCAAACAGTTAACAGTGATCTGTAAGTAACAGTGTGTTTAACACTCACCCCAAAACAAGTTTAAGTCTCACTCACTTCAATGTAAGCAGTAGAGTCATGTGACGAGCTGTACAAAACTGAGAAACAGGAAATATGTATACACCCTTTCCTCAATCTGTAGCAAAAGTACAGGGTTGGCTAATGTGTTGTGAGTCTGCTTCACTTCACATCCTGTTACTGTAACACAAAGCTGAGAAACTCACTCTGAAACATCTGAGCGTGTACAGATCGAGTTAAATCTGAATGCACAGAAACCAGCAGACCGAGGGGACCAACCAATCACCACGCTCGTAACGACGGGTCAGTGATGATATGAAGTCAGGAGTGTTTCAGGCATAGAGCTGACAAAAAAAGAGGAAAGATCATCACATCTTTTTCACAACCAACAGGAAGTGCATCATTTCCTTGTGTGAACACAGCTGATTTACGACACGTAGCACATGCTGTCTGAGCAGCTTTCACACAAAAAATAGGTGAACTGACCCTTTAAACCTCCAAGAGTTAACCAGCTGTAGTTAAAAGATGGACGCAGCCTGTCCCTGCTGTCACTTGATGCGAGGTACCTTGGACAGGCTGCAGACCACACAGAGTGGACAGTGAGGCTCCGGGATAACACAGACCCTGTGTTATTCTCTGACATGCAGCCTTCTGCGTTAGCATAAGTGACTGAGCCGCATCGTGAACAGGTGAAGGTGGGGGCGAACATAGAAGATACTGAGATGAAGTGAAAAACCTGTGGTTTGGCTCAAAAAGTTTCCAGCAGCTTCACAAGAAACAGGAAATTATAAAAACATCCTTTCACAGTGCCGCACAAAATGCTGTTTTACTGCTCGGTCTCTAACATGAAAGCATGAAAACTGAGAGTTTTGGAGACTGGACATCGCTGCCACTCACGGTGAAAGAATTTTGTCAATAGGACTTGAAGTTTTCTCTTGGAAGTGTTTGTTTCAGAATGACTTTTCTGTTTATTTAAACCAGCAGCAGACAGACACGTGTGTGTGTGTGTGTGTGTGTGTGTGTGTGTGTGTCTGTGTTTATCTGTGTGTGTGTGTGTGTCTGTGTTTATCTGTGTGTGTGTGTGTGTGTGTGTGTGTGTGTGTGGTGTCTGTGTTTATCTGTGTGTGTGTGTGTGTGTGTGTGTGTCTGGTTTATCTGTGTGTGTGTGTGTGTGTGTGTGTGTGTGGTGTGTGTGTGTGTGTCTGTGTTTATCTGTGTGTGTGTGTGTGTGTGTGTGTGTGTCTGTGTTTTCTGTGTGTGTGTGTGTGTGTGTGTGTGTGTCTGTGTTTATCTGTGTGTGTGTGTGTGTGTGTGTGTGTCTGTGTTTATCTGTGGTGTGTGTTGTGGTGTGTGTCTGTGTTTATCTGTGTGTGTGTGTGTGTGTGTTTTCTGTGTTGTGTGTGTGTGTGTGTGTGTTTATCTGTGTGTGTTTGTTGTGTGTGTGTTGTCTGTGTTTATCTGTGTGTGTTGTGGTGGGTGTTGTGTGTTATCTGTGTGTGTGTGTGTGTGTCTGTTTATCTGTGTGGTGTGGTGGTGTGTTGTGTTTATCTGTGTGTGTTTGTTGTGTGTGGTGTGTGTCTGTGTTTATCTGTGTGTGTGTGTGTGTGTGTGTGTGTGTGTGTGTGTGTGTGTTTTATTTGTGTTGTGTGTGTGTGTGTGTTTATCTGTGTGTGTGTGTGTGTGTCTGTGTTTATCTGTGTGTGTGTGTGTGTGTGTGTGTGTGGTGTGTGGGTGTTTATCTGTGTGTGTTGTGTTGTGTGTGTGTGTCTGTGTTTATCTGTGTGTGTTTGTGTGTGTGTGTGTGTGTGTGTGTGTCTGTGTTTATCTGTGTGTGTGTGGTGTGTGTGTGGTGTGTGTGTGGTGTGTCTGTGTTTATCTGGTGTGGTTGTGTGTGTGTGTGTGGTGTGTGTGTGTGTGTGTGTGTGTGTCTGTGTTTATCTGTGTGTGTTGTGTGTGTGTGTGTGTGTGTGTTGGTGTGTGTCTGTGTTGTGTGTGTGTGTGGTTTGTGTGTGTGTGTCTGTGTTTATCTGTGGTGTGTTGTGTGTGTGTGTGTGTGTGTGTCTGTGTTTATCTGTGTGTGTCTGTGTTTATCTGTGTGTGTTTGTGTGTGTGTGTGTGTGTGTGTGTGTGTGTGTTTATCTGTGTTTTTGTGTGTGTGTGTTTGTGTGTGTGTGTGTGTGTGTGTGTGTGTGTTTAGATGTGTTTTAAATCAAGAACAGTAATAACATACAGTTCAAAATAAGAACAACTGTGCAGGGCAGGTTAGAAGGAGCATAAGAACAAAAAAAACAAAACAGTGTATTTTGCTTTGTTAACGCTCTGCATAAATAAAAATCACCACAATGTCTTGTTGAATAAGGATGCACATCTGAAAAAATGGTGAATCACCAGTTAAATATACATACTTATAATCAAGAATATGCAGTATGTATTAAATATTAAATATCACATTCAATATTGTCATGATTTTGTATTTTATAAAAACAGGAGCAGATGAAAAAGCGTATTTGGGAAATTCATCACTGCAGAAATGTCTTTTTCTTTTAGATGAATTGACATGTAGCA